TCCTCACACCGCCGCAAACCCGCCGCCCGCCTGTCCCCGCCGGACAGCCAGTGGAAGCTGCTCCCCGTGGTCTCGGGCTCGTGGACAGAAGAGCAGACGCACACAGGGTCCACGGCCACCCGCGCTGCGCCTGGCACCCAGCACAGCGCCTGGCCCAGGAAGGGCGGTCCTGAAGGATGAGCAATGGGTGAGTGAATGAGCGAATGAATGGATGGAAGGGCCATCGTCTCCGTCGCCAACGCCCTCCAGCAAGAGCCCCGAGGCCCCGGCCACCCCTTCCTCCGCAGGCAGCTCCTGGTGGGGAGCGGTTGATTTTCCCAAAATAAAAGGGTGTGGGGACCGGAAGCGTGGCTCCGGGCCCCGCCCTGGCGACTCTGGGCAGGAAGCCAGCAGGCGGGCTCATTTCCAGCGTGGCCACGCTCCCAGCAGAGTATTTCTGGAGCACCATGACCCTTATTGTAGCGGGCGGGGTCGCGCTGCGCGGGGCAGAGACGCCTGGCCATTTGTGGGGCTGACTGCCTGCCCGGCAAGGGATGGGGCGGCCTTCCTGGGAGCCCCTGAGGGTCAGGATGCCGGCTGGCATGGGCTTCTCCCTGCACCCCAAGCTGGGCCACTTTCTGGGCCTGCCGGGCCTGTCCGAGAGCTAGAAGGTCCCGCAGGGCAGGCCGGCTCTGCAGCCTGAAAGCTTCGCCCTCCCGCCTCCTGCTGCGAGGCGCCCCCCAATCCCCAACCTCCGCTGCACCTCTCCCTCCTCACCTGTCAAAAGGGGGAAACTACCTCTTTTAACTGCAGTTCCAGATTCCCCTGAGGCTAAGATGGGAGGCGAGCCCTCAGAGCGCTTAAAAAAACTGCAACCTTTAAAGACACAACACGTTTCCCTTGTATCTCAGTCTGAAAGTTCAAATACAACTCTCAGGGATCTAGCTGTTGTTTTGTTTTCTCATTTTCCCATGCACAAGCGCCAGCGCTAGATCTCTAATAAAATGAGCCGCACATTTAGTCATGTCCTTGGCCTGCTTCACATCTGCTGCCGACCCCTTTGTCTAGAAGATAAAATCCAGGCCTCCCCTCTACCTCCAGGCGGCAAGTGCTTGCGGGGACCCACCTGGACCCGCCCCGCTCTTCTGCTTCCTGCCCCCGCAGCAAGCCCTGCGCTTCCGCGCCTCTTGGCCTCGGCGCCTGCTGTTTTCCGTGCTTGAACCGCTTGCCTTCTGGCGAACTCCTACTTATCCTATGAAACCCGACTCCAAAGGCCCTTCTCTGCACTTCTCTGAAGCGCAGTCAGGTGCCCCGATACAGCATGGGCCTTGCAGTTGGAGGCTCATTTCCTGCCCGGCAAGGGATGGGGCGGCCTTCCTGGGAGCCCCTGAGGGTCAGGATGCCGGCTGGCATGGGCTTCCCGTCCTCGCCCCACCTGGTGATCTGATACATGACTTCGGCTCCCAGGACTCCAGTTTCTTCACCTGTCGTTACCTGGAGCTCCTGAATGTCAGGTACCACAAGGTGTTCCTCCCAAGTCCCCTCCTTCCTCCCCATGCCCAAGGCAGTTACTGTCCCCTGAAAGTAACACATCAGCAACTAACTTCCTGGTGCTTCAAGTTCTGCACTTTGTCCCAGGGCAGCCCGGGGAGAGGGCGGGGCTCCCCCCTTTACTCACAGGAAACGCAGGGGTGGGGGCCCCACACCAGCGGGCCGGGCCCATTCCTCCTGTGGGACCCTGCACTGGGCGCAGCACAAGGGCCCAGCTGCGGGGACTCGGTGGGTGTCAGAGGCAGCCGAGGTCACCCTCCTCAGGAGGCTGCGAGCGCCCGCCCCCGCCTTCTCCCCAAGCCAGCGGGGGCCGGGGCTGGGAGAAAGGGAGGGGAATCACGCTCCCGTTTGTTTTACAAATTGGATGACAGAACCTCTCAGATTAACCAGAAAACAAAACAAAACCCAAAAACCCAAATCTGTCACTCACGTCATTCCCAGCCTGGGGGAGGGCCGGCCTGAAAGGCAGGGCTCAGCCCTGGGCGCCCAGCTGGGCCGCCAAAGCCACCGCGGCCTCCCAGCCTGCCCGGGACACACGCCCGCAGGCTCCCCCCGGAGCTTTGAGGTCCGCCGGCTCTCTGGGCCAGAACCCCACGGGACCACCAGGAGACTCAGGCCGTTGACCCGCTCCGGTCCGTGGCCTGGGCTCCCAGTCCAGGTCGCTCAGCCGGTCCGGAGCAGGCCAGGTCAGAGCCGGGCAGGCGTGCCCTTCCCGGCCGGCGCGGGAACAGCCAGCCTGTGCTGGCGGCGGCGGGGCGCTCCCAGGGCTCCACCCAGAACTGTCTGGGGTGGGCCTCGGGCTTCTGCGCTTTGAGCGCATTTGCAGAAGGGCCTACACTGGGGGCAGGTGCCCCTGCCCTCCGCTCCCTGGCCAGCTTGCACTCCAGCCCCGCGGGCACCCCTCTGTGCCCGCTGGACCCCCCCACTCAGTGCCATCAGAGCCGAGCGTCCCTGTGTGGGCTGCCCCCGCCCACAGCAACCCCTGGGGCCCCTTCCCAGGACGCCCTCCCCCTCCCTGAACCTCCCCGCACCCGGCCCCTCGCTCTCGCCCTGTTACGCATGCCTGGCCCCCCACGTCCTGCGGTCCGCCCCTGCCCCTCCCTCCGCCCCTGCGCGCTGTCCCACGCATCCCGCGCCCCCTCCCGCGCCCCCACCTGCCCGTTCCAGTAGCCCCGAGCCCAGCCGGCTCCTCGTCCGCTTTCCGGTTCCCACTGGCACCCCTCCGGCCCCTCTGAAGCCAGAGTGGCACCTGGAAGCTGCAAATCTGATCACCCTGCCCCGCAGCTGCACCCTGCGGGGTCTCCCCCTCGCTCGTGGGACAAAATCAAACTCACAGCAGGTTCTACCTACAAAACACCAACCAAACGCAAAGCAGAGCAAAGGTCGGAGTGGTTGACGACGCAGCAAAGCAGGTGGTTAAGGGACAGTGGACCACTCACGGGCTCCGGGAGGGCAAGTGCCTCAAGACTCTGCAGAGCTGCTCCAGGGAACCTCGCAGCCGGTCCTGCCCCCTAGTGCCCACCGGCCCGGGGAAGTGGGGTGGCCCGAGCACTGGGCAGGGTGGGCGCCTCTGCCCTGCGTGGCGAGGGCTCTAGGCAGGAATGTCTCAGGCGTGTGTCACATGAGCACGGGACAGGGAGCCCGCAGGCAGAGCGAGCTGGTGCGGTCACTCGGTGATGTGGGTCTCTGGGCTCTGCTGTCAGCTACACAAATGTCACTGTGATGGTGGGATAGCCCCAGGGACGAAAGAGGCTGATGCGTCCTCACTTGCGTGCTCACCCTCTGCTTGTGAGCGACTCGCAGAGTCCTCATGGCGTCCTGGGAGGGCGGCGTGAGGACAGTCCGTTTTGTAGATAAGCTCATTTGCCTGCCATCGCAGAGCTGCTAAGTGGCTGGGCTGGGCTTCGAACCTAGGCGGTTTGCTCCGGAGCTAGCCATGCCGCGGGGCTGCGGTTCACGGGGTCTCTAGCAGACCTGCCTTGTTCATTGTTGCCCCTGCCTCCACAGGGTCCCCCCGCCCCGCCCCCATCTCGCTGGCTACTTCAGGTTTGGTCCCCGCCTTGCCAATCCCTGCGCATGGATCTCTTCCTCCCCGCGGCCTTTGGCGGATGGTCCGGGCTGCAGACACCGTCAGTGGGGCCAGGGGACAGAGGAGTCTCCTTACATCAAAAACTTGGCCAAGGCCTGCTGGCCAGGCCTGGAGCGCGTGCCCCTCAGGGCGACCCTCGGGGCTGGCTCCTCAGGGCCTCCGCGGAGCCTCCGAAGGTCTCCGGGAACGAACACGTGGGAGCTCACACCCGGCGAGCTGCACGGAGTGTAGGCGGGCCCTGTGAAGGAGGCTGCCGCTCAGGAATAATTCAAATGACCACATTCAGTGACCTTTACCACGGACCAGCCGCTCACCAGGCCTCGCCTCAGCAACCCGGGGCGAGGGGGGCTCCTGTCAGGCGAGAAAGGGGGCCGGGGAGGTGGGGCTCCACTGTGGGGTCACCCAGCTCGAGGGAGGCGAAGCGGGCGGCCCCAGGCTGGGCCCTTTGCTAGCAACCTACTGGATGAATGTATGCGCGGGTGCCTGGGTGGGTGGATGTAGGATGGACGTGCATGGGCGGTTGGTGGGGTGGATGGATGGGCGGATGGATGGATGGCGGAGGAGCGGAGCACACAGCTCAGACCCCCCAGAGTAAAGAGGTGTGTGTTCGTGGGTTTGCGGCGCCCACCTGGCCTGGGAAAGGGCCCTCCCCTGGATCCCTGACTGGACCGCTGGGACCACAAGGTGGGAAGAGCCAATTCTGGGTCTCGGTCACCATGGGGAGCGCCGGCTCCCTGGGGCACTGGGCACTGGTCGGCGGGGGCCTGCCTGCGCCCACCCCGGTGGGAGCTCTCACAGCCCGACCACCCCAAGGCCGACAAAAGCAAAGCGCGCTGGGGAACCCGAACCCCCCGGATGATGCTTCTTGCCTGCCCCCAACACCCTGGACAACTGGGCCTGGCCCTTTACTGCTGCTTGTTTATTCATCTGCTCAGCAGATGCAGTTAAATCTTTACCTGCAGACCTGCCGGACAGCGCCCGCAGCAGCAGCGGAGAGGAAGCGGTAGGCGGCGGGGCCCCGGGACCTGGGCCTGGCCGGGCAGGACCAGGGCAGGAGGGGGCCTGAGGGTGGCAGTGGGGGTCCGGCAGAGCCGCCGCCGGACCGTGGGTGGGAGGGGAGGAAACAGCGTGGGGGGAAGGCTGGGCACCCGTCCTGGGAATCGTGCTGCTGCAGCCCAGGGTTGACCCCGAGGCCAGGGTGCCCTTGCAGACAGGTTCCTCCCACGGGAAACCCCTTTGGACTTTGATAAACATAAGGCCAGACAGAGGCTTATGCTTTTAACCCCAATAAATTACAAACCATCAATAAAATTACCAATTAGAGAGATGCCTAAAAAAGGAATGCAATTTATTCTTTTAAAAGATTTTATTTCTTATTAGAAAGAGAAGGGAGGCAGAGAGGGAGAGAGTATCAATGTGTGATTGACTCTCATGTGCCCCTAACTGGGGACCTGGCCTGCAATCCAGGCCTGTGTCCTGACTGGGAATCGAACCAGAGAATCCATGAGGCAATACCACTAGGGCAAAATGAACACAATTTAGACTAATAATGCAATTAAGTGGTTAATTTAGTGTGGGGTGATTTCTTAATTGTTGTAAAATATACATATGGGTTGGCCAAAAAGTCCATTTAATTTGTCTGTATAGTAAATGACACATTTCTAATTTTCACCAATAATGTCACTGATTTGGATATTTTATGTTGGCTTTATCCTGTGTGGGAGAACGTTGATTGTTCTCTATTAATGTCTTGATCTCCCCAACTGTGGAACATTGTCTAGCGAGAAATCTCCAGCACGAAACTGTGCAAATCACTTAGGAAAAAGATTTACTTTTAGAGTGGGAGGGAGGAAGAAACATCAATGTCTGAGAGATGATAGGTTGTCTTGCCCCCAACTGGGGACCTGGCCTGCCACTCAGGAATGCGCCCTGACCGGGAACTGAACTAGTAGCCTCTCTGGTCACAGGCCAGGGCTCAGCCCACTGAGCCGCACCAGGCAGTGTGTGTGACTTGTGCCAGTGTCTTCACTTAGACTTAAAAACCGAGGGCTTCTTTGATTAAAACAGATTTCAACGGCAAATTCTGCCTGTGTAAGTTCTGCCTCTGTATCTGCACCCAGAGGGATACCAGGCATTTTCTCGGGAGTGTATGTGGCTCCGGCATGCCCGCCTGCCCAGTTCCAGACACAAGGCACAGAGCAAGGCTGTGTTACACGCAGTCAGCATGACTCACAATAGTCATCAGGGAAATAAAAGCCTGAAACGGAAAGCTGTATGGAGAGCCCGTGGCTCTAGGAGTCTAGTGAGGGGTCTGCACAGGTAGGGACCGGAGGGCAGGTGGGAAGGGTGGGAGGGGCAGGGAAGAACAGGGCCCTGAGTTGCCGAGAGGGGGTGAGGCTTACGGGGGCGGACGGGGGAGCAGGGGCAGGGCGGTGTTAGACAGGGCGGGCAGATGCTACTGAGGTAGTTTTATCCAGAGGAGCTGCACCTTTGTATACAGGACAGTTAGCGCCAGGCAAGAGGCGGCCCAGGGCTGCACCTTGTGTGAGAAAGTAGGCAGTGGTCCCAGGGGTGGGCCGGGCGGGGGGCAGGGGTGTGTGTATGTGTGCGCACACATCCTGTAGGTTTGCGGCAGGCACAGTAGCGGTCCCCACAGTGCCACGTCCTAGCCCCCAGCACCTGTGTGCTTCAGGAAAGAGGTGGGCAGAGCCAGGGGGCTGCTTCCTTAGGTGCCCAGAGAGGAGGGCTCTGGGTGCTCGGAGGGTGTGCATGGGAGTGGCTAAGGGGGGCAGACCGGAGCGTTTGTGCAGAATGGCCGGAAGCGCCCCACGCCCCGGGCTGAGCGCGGCCACAGAGGTGCACCGTGGGTGTGGCGAGCTGGGCCTCAGCGAGGGCCAGGAGGGCCATCTGCAGGTGAGGGGCGTGGGGAGAAAATGGAACAGACGAGGGCTCCCACGAGGGGTTAGGGCCCCGCAGGCAGGGCGATGGGCAGAGCCTGCCTGCGTCTGGACGGCAGGGCGGCTGTGGCGGGGGCGGCCGTGACGCCGGGGCACCTGGGAGCAGGTGGGCAGAAGTGGAGGCAGCCGGGCCTTTGCGCCAGGAGACGCCTGACCAAATCCCTCTCCGCTGGCCTGAAGTCTGCCAAACTTCTCTCTGCAGGCTTCTCTCTTAGAGGAAAAAGGTTAAGAGCAAATGTGGTTCTTGACTCGTTTCAAGTAAACCTTTCAGCTCGCGGGCCCCTTCAGCAGGCTCCGTCCGGCCTCCCAGTGAGCTGCCGTGGCTTGTTTAAGGCACCTGAGAAGAGAGTTGCTCCAGACTTGGGGAAGCGCTTAGTATTTCTGGAAGCCGCTGCGCATGGACACGCACCGTGCGGCCCTGGGTCAGACCAGGAAGCCCGCCCGCTCTCCAGGACACGCCGGCCGACAGTCCAGGGCAGCAGAGATGCCGTGGCATGTGGGAAACACAGACCAGCAACCCCGTCCTCAAGAAACAGTCATCTTAGGTGTGCACTGCATTCCTATCTACTTCTGCTGTCTATTTGTGCTTTTTCTACAGTGTTTTCGCGAGCGTTTCCTGGTTTTACAAAGCTGGGGACACGCTGTCCCCCCAGCCCCCCGCTCAGCTGGGCCTCCCAGCCTGGCCCAGCGGCAGTCACAGGGAAGCCCCCCAACCACGGGAGGGGGCCGGCCGAACAGGCACAGGTTTCTCTCTGGCTCCCGTGTTTGGGGGACAGTTTCTTGGGCCAGCTCACCCCGCCCGACGGCTCTGACTCGGTGGCCCGCAGCAGCCTGGGCTGGTCCCCGGCCCCTCGAGGCCCCATGGCACAGGCGGAAGGCACGTTCTGACCCATCGCCTTTCCTGGATCTTGCAGTTCAAGATCCCAGCTTTGTCCAGGTGGGATTAGGTCACATGGTGGGTGATGGGCAGCTGCTCCAGAGCTTGGACGCCATCTCCCGCATGCCAGGGACAGGCACTGCACCCAGGGAGTCCTGGGGTGGCGGTGCCGGCTGATGGACCGCCAGAGCAAGCCGGCGGCAGAGCTGGGGACCGAGCCCTGGGCAGGAACCACGTGTCACCACAGCCTCTGTTGGAGCGCCTGGTGCCCCAGCTCACCTCTAGGTCTTTGCAGCACCAGCTCACGGAAGGCACCTGGTCAACACCGGGGAAGGAACCGGGCCTGGACTGTGCAGAGGCCTCAGTCCCTGGAGAAGAGCAGCGGGGTCAGGAGGAGGCAGTCGAGGCCGGCGTGTCCGAGTCCCACGCCATGAGGGACACAGTGCCACTGCTGCTCTCGTTCTGGTGCCGGAGGCTGCGGGCCTGCTGATCCTCCTCGATGAGATCTGCCACCAGGTTCAGGCGGCAGGCCCGGAGCGCCTGCACCAGGTGGGACACCGCCGCGTGCTCCGGCGCCATGTTCTTCCAGACTCTGAGCAACTCCCGCACCTGCTCCGTCAGGTTCCGGGGATACTTCACCTCGATGGCATCAATCTTGGAGTCGGACACTTTAAGCTGGCGTGCCAGTCTTCTCCAGTCCTTCCCCACGTGATCACATATGATGTCGAATGCTGCATAGAAGTCTAGGGGAAGAAAGGACAAAGTGTTTCGCCTGGGGTTTGGGGGGCCTCTCAGGAGACAGGTGACCCAAGAGCTGGCTCACAAGAGGTCCTCTTGCAAAGGCTGAAGCCACCCAGGAACAGAAGGGCTGGGTGGTAAGAGAAGGCCCAACAGTGGCCTCTAATTTTACCCTAGCCAACCCCACCCCAAAGCACTACCCAAGAGGTGTGACCTGCTGACACCTTGAGGGCTGGGGTGGGCTGCAGTGGCGCCACCTGTTTAGAACGGGGGAAACTGAGGGAGGGGCTGGGACTTGCCAGGAAGGGAACGGGGTTGCTCCTCTATCCTGAACAATGGCCCCGAAAAGGATACGTCCACATCAGATCCCTGGAACCACGAGTGTTATTTAGAAAAAGAACTTTGCAGATGTAAACAAGCTGAGGATCTCGAGAAGAGAGCACCCTGGGTCACACAGGTGGGCCCTAAACCCAGTGATGAGTGTCCTGATAGGACAGAGGTCACATGACCACGGAGGCAGAGACTGAAGGGATGCGGCCACAGCCCTGGACACCTGGAGCCCTAGAAGCTGGACGAGGCCAGAAGGACACCACCCCCAGAGCCTTTGGCAGGAATGTAGCCCCGTGACCCTCGATTTCTGACTTTGGCTCCCGACCAGTCATGAGAGAGTCCGTTTCTGTGGCTTTAGGCCACCAAGTGTGCGGTGGTTTGCATGGCAGCCCTGGAAACCTGACCTGCGCCCCAATTCTCATTTGGGAAGCTCCCCTGACGGACTGCCAGTCTTCAGTCCCTGCTACTCCGCCCTCACCTGCTGAGGCCACTGCTGAGCTCAGCGAGCTGGGAACTACAGACCCTCACAGGCTGGAACGGGGAGAGAGGCGAGCGGAAGGGCAGAAAGGGTGCTTGGACAGCTCCCGCCTACCCACGTCTCCAGCTATGGGCCACCGAGACGCTACTGGCCGGGGGGCTGTGCCCAGCCTTGAGCCCTGGCGGCCCTGGGAGGTGGTCATTTGTGTTGCTACGACTGTTTGTACAGATGGGGAAACAGCACAGAGAAGGTCAGTGGTTTTCCTGAGGTCACACAGCCAGATGATGGCGGAGCCAGGGTGCAAAACCCCGGCAGTCCCGTGCCCCAGCCTACTCTTAATCGACCATTCTGCTAATCGCCTCCTGTGAGAGCAACACAGAACCGCCCGGTATCACCCCCTATCCCTGCTCTTAACCTTCCCGTGCGCTTCCCTCCAACGCACAGTCACTGCGTAAACAAAAACCAGACACACGCGTACCTCTAAACTGGCACCGGTATCATGCAGACTCCCTTCCAGCGTGTCAGGTAAGCACTCCCCAATGGAACAGCCTTGAAAATGTAATGTCCTACGTTCCCTTTGGCTCGTGTGCTTTCAGGCAGAGCTGCGCTCTCAGCCTGCTGCCAATCAGCACCAGTTCTCATGCAGTGACACCATGGTGTCACATTTACATCCTTTTTGAGCTTGGTGACCAAATGACCAATTCCAGGCCGCAGCCTGTAGCCTGTGAGGGTTGCCCCCAAAGCACCCCCTCCTCCAGGTTCTGAGAACATGGCTAGTGACCGAGAAACCCTGCTGAACTCGGGTCGCACTTTTACTCCTGGAAGCTGCTGCAAGCCGCAGGTGCAGGCGGCAGAGGGGGTGCGTGACGGCTGTCAGTGCAGGAAGCGACCACAGGACGTCCCTGCTCAGAGGGGCGGTCTCCTGCCTAACACCGCCCACCCGGACGCCACAGTGCCCCGCTGCAACCCTAGCTGCAACCCTAGCTCCGTTAGTGATTGGTTATGCAAGTCACTAAACATCCCTTTGAGTCAGTCCTCTCGTTTCTAAAAGAGGAAAAATGACAAAAGATAGTATTTAATGAATGCGGTTATTGCGAAAACTACATTTGTACCGTGCTTAGAACAGTAACAGCAGGCCATAAACCCGCGGTATCGTCGTCGTTCACCGTTATCGTTACTTCCCGTGGCGGCGGCAAAGGGCGCCAGGTGGGCGCTCCGAGGCAGCAGGCAGGTGCCGGCAGCAGCACAGGGTCACGCCACTCTTGCCCACCCAGAGGTTAGCAACGCCTTTCTTTTCCGTGTACTTTCTAATTTACTTAGACGGAGTGGCGTGGCGGAGAAACGCCGGGTCTGTAACCTGGCCTGAGCTCACTGTTCCAGGTTTGGTTCTCCCACGGGTCATCGGTCTCCCAGGGTTGTTGAAAACAAACACGAACTCAAAGTTGGCAACAGTTCGGTGCCTGGCAGACTCCCAACCAGGACTGCTGGGCAAACTGGCTCCCCCTCCCCCGGCCCGACCCGTGTTCCCCTGCCACTCTCGTCCCCCCCGTCCCGGTCCCAGTCCCCCGTCCCCCGTCCCGCGCCCACCTTGCTCTTCAGGCCCCGCCCTGTCCACCGCGCCCGCCTGAAAGTCGTCCAGGAGCCGCAACAGGTCCTGGCGCCGCAGGGAGGAGAGCAGCTCGCGCAGGAGCTCGGGGTGCTCGCGGTCCAGCTCGTTCTGCTCGAGCAGCAAGGAGAAGAGGTCGACGCCGCTCTCCACGCGCTCCAGCTTCCTCTTGCCCAGGCGGCCCTGGCAAAGGAACTTGAGGTCGGCCAGCTCGCTGCTCGACAGGCCGGTGGACACCGAGTGCAGCAGCACCAGAAACGGGTCCATGGCGGCGGGCGACGGCGGCCAGCGGGCGGGCGCAGCGCGAACCCGGCCCTCCTCGCGCTCCACGGCCCCAGGCCGCCAGCCCAGCCCAGCTGGCTTCAACCCGTCGCCCGCTCCCAGCCCTGCGCCCCAAAGACTGCCCGGGTTCCCTCTTCACAAGCCCTTCCTGCCCACCACCGGAAGTCCACCACGAGCCTGCGCATCCGGAGCCTCGCGAGAACTCCGGGACCCACGCATGCGCTCGGAGCCTGACCGCAGCCATTTCCGCCTGGAAGGCGCGGAGCCGCCGCTAGGGGGCGCCCCAGACAGGGTACGGGCGCGGAGTTGGGACGGCCTCTGCGGCTGCGCCTTTCGGATCCTCTCTCCCTGCGGCTGGGAATGTGGAGGCCGGGAGAACGCCGGCGCGGGCTGGCTGGCTGGGCGGGACAAAGTTTTCCGGGAAGTGCGGCAGCAAGAGTGCTGATAATAAATGCATTCATTTATGAACATTTGTGACGATTCCTGTCCTTTAGTGCCCCTGGACACGTGGTCGGAAAAGATTACTCAGGTTTATTTAGGCGTTCAAGTTTAATTGATCATTGATTTTTAAAGTCGTAATTGATTTTCAAAGTGTAGCTTTGAATCCTTTTTAGCGTTGACTGAGCGCTTAGTGAGTGCCAGGCAGTAGGTACTGGGGACAAATTCGGGAAGTCCCCGCCTACCAGAGTTTGGTGTAGTCATCAGTACACCAGCTTCCGAAAGAGATACGGTGCAGGGTGCCCAGGGTGCCCGAAAATCAGCCCAGCCGGGGCCCAGAGGGGCGGGGCGGGGCGGGGGCGGGGGCAGGGGCAGGGGCTGAGGGGCTCGTTGGACAGGTGTGAGGGGGAGCCTGTGTGCTGGGCAGGGCACAGCGAGAGCAGGGCAAAGGCACAGAGGGCCGAGTTTCCAGAAGCAGCAGGGGGCCCAGTGGGTCTTCAGGTAGGGACGCTGGGGCGGGGGCGGGGGCGGGGGTGGGGGTGGGGGTGGGGGGTAGGGGGGTGGGAGGAGGGGGCCAGATTAGGAGGTGCTCTCACAGGCCAGGGTGGAGCCCCTGCGGAGGAAGAGCAAAGGCATCTGAGGTACCTTAAAATATACGTATATATTTAACTGAGAGCTAACTCATACCCTATATAACTCACCCTTTTAAAATGCATAATGCACTGGTTTTTAGTATCTTCATAGAGTTGTCCAACCTTGCCATTAACTAATTTTAGAACACTTTTGTTACCCCAAGTAGGAACCTGGTACCCATTAGCAGTCACTTCCTTCCTCCTCCTTCCCCAGCCCCTGGCAACTGCTAACTCACTTCCTGCCTCTTTGAATTCGACTGTCCTGGACATTTCACAGAACTGGAACCATACACCCTGCGGCCGCTGAGCTGGTTTCCTTCATTGAGCAGAAGGCCTCCGAGGTCCACCCGCAACGTGTCAGGTGGCAGGTGGCAGGGCTGTGTTCCCGTTCATGGGCCGACAGTCCCCCCTCGTCCGGATGCACCACATTTGCTCACGGGTCAGCAGCCGATGGACATGTCGGTTGTTCCCATGTGTTGGTCGTTAAACATAGCGCTGCTGTGCACTCTTGAGTAACACGGTGCAGGACTCGCTGCGCCTGGGGAGAGAACCCGCAGGACCTCACGCTAGTCCTGGTGAGGGAGGAGGGCGCCTGGACCGAGCGCAGCCGCGGGGACGAGGAAGGTGCAGTGTCCCTCTGCCCGGGGTGGGCACAGACGAGAGGAACGGGGGTGCTGGTGAGGTTTGAGGGATGGAGCGCGCCCGGGCTGACCTGGGGAAGGTGCGGGCGGGTGGGTTTGGGGGAGGACCTGTTCGGGATGCTGACCGGATGTGGGGAGGCACAGGATGAGGGTTTGGCGCAGAGATCTGGGTGGAGATGTGCACTGGGGAGCACCCTGCAGACAGATGGCGTGTGTGATGGATCATTTCGGGTCAACCTGACGGAGTGAAGGGCTGGCCTGAGAGCTGGTAAGACATATCTCTGGGTGTGTCTGAGAGGGTGTTTGGGGAAGAGATTGGCATTTGACCCGGTAGACTGAGCCAAGCCGACGCCCACCCCGCAGTGTGGGCGGGCATCATCCTACCTGTTGAGGGTCCCAGGAGAACAGGCTGCGGCGGCAGCAGGGCGCACGCGCTCTCTGGGCTCGGGCTGCCGTCGGCCAATGGCGGTCCTGGCTCTTGGAATTCGGACTCACTGCTCCCCCCCTAATTTCCACACCTTCAGGCGCAGACCAGAAGATACCCCTGGCTTTCCTGGGTCCCCAGCTTGCCGACGGCAGGTGGGGGACTGCCTGGCTCCCAAAGCCGCACAAGCCAATTCCTGTAACAGATCTCCCCGGTCAGGTCTCATATAGCCCATTGGCTCTGTTTTTTGGAGCTCCTGGACGAATGTAGCATTTAGTGTCACGAGGGAGGGAGAGCAGGAAGAAAACAGGACCAGGGACTGAGCCCTGGGGGGGGGGGGGCCCTCCTATGATTTGTCTGCAGAAATGTATGTTCAAGTCCTCTGCCGCCCCCGCCCCGCTCTTTTAAGGTTTTATTTATTTATTTTTAGAGAGGGGGGCAGGGAGGAGAAAGAGAGGGAGAGAAACATCGATGTGCGAGACAAACTTCCATTGGTTTGCCTCCCCCTCTGCCCTGGCTGGGGGCTGAACTGCAACCCAGGCACGGGCCCTGACCGGGAATCGAACCGCGACCTTTTGTTTGCGGGATGACACTTCGACCAGCTGAACCGCGCTGGCCAGGGCCCTCTGCCCATTTTTAACTGGGTTGCTTGTCTTTTTGTTGTTGAGTTGAAGGGGTCCTTTGTTCCGGATATGAGCCCCGTATCAGATACATGACGTGTGAAAATCTCCTCCCATTGTGTGAATGGCCATCTCATGCTGTTGGTTGTGTCCTTTGATGCACGAAAGCTTTACATTTTAAGGCAGTCCAGCATCGGTAATTTTCTTTCATTTCGCATGTGTCTTTACAAAAAGGCAGGAAAGCCACGTTGAGCAGGTTTGGTGGATGCAAACTGGTCTTATTTGGGCAGCTGATCACGGTTTATTTTCCTTTCTTTTTCTCTTTGTATTGTCCCCGTGGCCCCTCCCTCTGTTTTCCTTTTTCCGGTTGTTCCTTTTCCGTTTGTTTTGGTCTCTCTCCCTCAGGACGACTGTGGGCTTTGCTCGGGGGTAGTTTTTCTAAAGGGGAAGTCCCCCCGCTGGGGCCCGGGGGTATATGGTGGCCGGGATAATACCCCTGCCCCCGCAACCGTGTCCGCATCCACATCCCCAGTCCTGGGAAGCGGCTCGTTTCCACGGCAGAAGTGGCTTTGCAGGTGTGATGAAGATGAAGGGTTTCGAGGTGGGGGACTATCCTGGCTTATTCCCGGGTGTGGGAAGGGCTCCCCACCCTTGCCGGCTGGAAGACTGCGGGAGGGGTCTAGCCCTGCCGGCACCTTGATTCCAGGCCAGCGAGGCCTGTGTCAGGCGTCTCACCCACGGAACTAGAAGTTAACAAATGCGTGTTCTTTTAAGTCACTACATTTGTGGTAACTGGCCACGTCAGCAAACAGAAAACCAGGCTGGCCCTCAGGCCGGCCGGGGTTTTTCCGGGTGTTTTCCTCCCCACGTGCAGCTCCCGTGCACAGCCAGCAGAGGGCAGCAGCCACCCACAGGCCATAACAGGGACTGGCCTTGCGGTGGCTGGTGGTCAGCATCATGACAGCGGGTGGGGACCCCGGTTACAGTTGGGGGAAGAGGGGTGACCAGAAGGGAACACCAACGGAGGGTCCCGAGGTGCCACAACATGCTGCTTCTGAGTCCTGGCGACAGAGCGGTGTTTTTTTGTTTTTTTGGTGGAAGTTGACTGTACACTTAAGGCATGTGCAGTTTCCTGTGTGTTACTTCCATAAAAATGGGGGGAGGAGGGTGGATAGGACAAAGGGGAGAGAAAGAACGGGGTGCAGAGAGTAAATAACAGCAGAGCGGAGGAAGCCAGGCCTCAGTCCGACAGGCTGCCTTCCCCCAGGGTCATCCTGGCCGGACCCTGCCATCCGGGAGCCAGGCCGCGATGCCCACGCCGGGCCAGGCCCGGGCCTCAGGGGAAGCTCCTCTGCCCAGCGCTGCGGCGTGCGCAGGGCAGGCTGCTTGCTGTGGGGGCATCTGGGTCAGCGCCGCCCGTGCGCCCCTGACCTCCTGCCCCAACAGCCTGCCAGCTTGACTCCAGGGTCTGCTCAGCCCAAAGGCAGGACGGCTGGGCTGTCCGTCTGCTGCCTGTGGTCCGTGCGCTCATTCACCGATCTAGCCACCCGTCCACTCGTCCAGCCAGGGATCGATCGGACCCCCACCTTTCGGTGTTTGCAACGATGCTCCAACTAACCGAGCCACCTGGCCACCTGGCCGTGTGCGTAAATGACTATCTACGGAGGCTGGGTGCTGCCTCTAGAGTCTTGGCGTGTGCGCTAAGCAGCCTTGTGATGTTGGGCAAGTCAGCTCCCAGGCTCGGACCCTGTCTCCCCATCTTATCAAATGGGGTGGAGGGTCCCCCTGCGAGCCCGCAGGCTTCGGGGAGGGCCCGGGGGACGCGGGGAGAGGGCTCCTGCAGTGCTGGCCCGCTGCCCGCGGTGCCGGACGGACGAAGTGCTTTCTCCGCTGTGGGTGAGCGGCGCGCGGGGAGCTGGCGGTTTCCTGAAGTTTCCTTGGCGTGTGAGCACGAGGGGGCGCCCGAGGCTTGCCGCTGGCCCGCGAGACTCTGGAGGAGGGGCAGCCTGCGCCCCGCCCCCACCCACGCCCCCGCTGAGGCCCGTGTCCCCAGCTGAGCGGGCTGTGCTGCCCGCTGATGTCTGGTGTTCCCACCATCCCTTCTTTCACGAAATGATGTTGATTCGAGGTGGTGGTTTATTTTTTTAAAAGATTTTAATTTTTTAGAGGTGAAGGGAGGGAGAGAAGGGAGAGAAACATCAGCATGTGGTTGTCTCTGGTGTGCTCCTCAACTGGGGACCTGGCCCACCCCCCAGGCCTGTGCCCTGACCGGGAATCGAACCGGTGACCCTTTGGTTTGCAGGCTGGAGCTCGATCCACGGACCCACACCAGCCGGAGCTCTAGGTGGTGGTTTAAAAACGGGTGTCCCCACTTACCCAAGTGAAAACACTGGGAACTC